CCCTCCACACCCAGCCTATGGGGCCAAGGCATTTTCATGGAACCCCAGAATCCCTGAGCCAGACCCCAAGGACCATCCAGTCCAAGCCCTGGCCCTGCCCAGGACCCCCAGCATTCCAAACTGGGATCTGTTTTCCCAGCACCACCTCTGTCCTGTGTTTCAGCTGGCTTTATTCCAGCCTGGAAAAATGGGAGCCTTTTATTTATCCCAAATTCCAGAGGCATCACCAGCCTCCCCTGGGTTCATTAACTCAACATTTTCCCCACTGATTCCCAGCCCATTGGGAATTTTCTGTGACTCATCCCCTTCCCCTACCTACTGAACACGAAGTTCAAAATTCTACTGAGGGACAATAATTACTGATTAGCTGCAATGGATGAAATTGAACAAATCTAGAATTTTCTCTGACTCCAGCACAAAGAGCACCCAACAGCACCTCCTGCTACTCTCCCATCTTCCTTATCTCCAGTTCTGGATGAACTTACAAAAATTATCATTAGAAAAACCCAGCAAATAAGAAGAGAATCCCATAAAAATTCCAAGCATGGTACCATAGTCCTTGGGCACGACGATGGAGTACAGGCACACCTGGCCACTGGTGTAGTTTTGGGGATAATTTGGGGACAGGACGACTCCATCTGAGCCTGTGTACTGCCCTCCACAGGGAGCTGCAAGGGAAAAGGGTCATGGAGCATCCCTGGAGCCTGGAAATGTCCCCAGCCACCATCCCCTGCTCCAGGTGCTGCTGCCTTAAAGTTCTCATTGGAAAAATCAGGTTTATCCCACCCTGAGTTTGTGCTGGAGTTATCAAACCACCAATTAATGTGAGGTTTGCTCTGTTCCCCACTCACAGCTGGGGATGAGCTCCTTTTGCCAACTTTCCTCAGTTTTTCCTGTCAAAACCTTCCCAAATTAGGGATTTCACTCCTACTCCCCACCAGCTGCCTTTTGATTCCCTTCTCAGCTCAAGTCTGACTGCAAACCATGAAGTCAGAAAAGAAAACAAAAAAACATGGAGAAACCCTATGGAAAAAACCCCTTGTTTTGTCACTAAACTCTACACCTGCTCAGCAACACCCAAGATTGAGGGTTTGGATTAGCAAGGATCAGGTTTAGCCAGGGTTTAAGAGGATTCCTGACTCCTGCCCTGGGCCAGGCACTGAATCAGCCACGTCCATTTTCCTGTCTGTCTCCAAAAAAACCCCCAAGAAAACTCCCAAAAATCAGCTCTTCCTATTAAAAGAAGAGCTGTTAAACCCCTGAAAAACCCCTAAAAATTATAGAAAAACTGAGAAATCCCCTGTGAATTAACCCCATTTTTCCATGGGGGATGCACTGAGGGGTCCAGCTCTGGGCAGATCCCGCCCCCAGCCCCTCCCTGTGGGATTTACCTGTACAGGTGGGGCGTGGCTTGTTCCAGGTGGGTTTCCCATCCCCTCCCATCACACAGGTGAGGGTGGGGCCCCCCTCGATGTCGTAGCCCCCATCACAGTAGAAGGTGATGGTGGAGCCCAGCTTCAGGTCTGTGCCCACCCTGGTGCCATTCTTGATGGAGCCTGGGTCAAAGCAGGACTCCCGCGGGTTCTCTGCAGGGAAAGAGATAAAATTTTTAAAAAAGTATAAAAAAAACCTAAAAAAAAATAAAATTGAAGGATTTTTATTCCGCTTGCACAGCTCCTCTGCTGTTTTGATCAATGAAACTGGAGTTTTTTTAGGATTTTTTTTCACCTGGGAATGTGTGGGATTTTCACAAGTACTGGCACCATTTGCAGGGTGTGGATTTGGGATTTGGTTTGGATTCTGGGAGAAGGGAGGCTCCAGTTCCCACCCAACCTCTCTTTTTTGGGAGCCACAGACTGGGGAAACCCCACGGCCCATCACACATTTCTATCCTCAGCCTTTAAATCCTGAAATCTGGGTTCTCCTGGGCTCAGTGGGGTCTTGAATGAGCATAATCCAAATCAAAACTTTGATTTCACACAACCCCCAGGATTGCTGAGGCTGGAAAATCCCTTCAGGACCATCGAGTCCAAGCTGTGACCCATCCCCATCTTGTCACCAGCCACAAGGACAAATCATATTTGAGATGGGGAGGAATCTCCATCTGGCACAGAGAAATCCTGGATTTCCCATCCCTGAAGTGTCCAAGGCCAGGCTGGATGGAACTGGAGCAATCTGGGATGGTGGAAGGTGTCCCTGCCCATGGATGGGTTTTAAGGTCCTTTCCAACCCCAACCAGTCTGGGATTCTTTCATTTATTCCTTGGACACCTCCAGGGGTGAGGATTCCACCCTTTCCAAGGCCTGACACCTCTTCCATGCAGAAATTCCTGCTGATTTCCAACCTGAGCCTCCCCTGGCACAACTTGAGGCTGTTCCCTCTCACCCTGTCCCTGTTCCCTGGGAGCAGAGGCCGAACCCCACCTTGCTCCACCCTCCTGGCAGGCAGAGACTGAAAAATTCTCTGCCCTGCAGAGTTTAAAATCTCATTTCCACATAAAAACTCCAGAGAACACTACAGAGCTGTCAGGACTTAAGATATTTTTTTCCTTCTTCTAACAGCTTTTTTTTGGGGGGGTTTTTTCTTTTCTTTAATTTTTTTTCCCTGCCTGCAATATAATTAGAGGCTTTGATTAATCCTGCTCTTTTGTCATTTGGAAATTGCTCATTAAAGACAAGGGCTTTTCTGAGAGCAGTGGCTCTGGGAACAATTCAAGTGTGCTTAAGCATTAAATCAGGGGCTCTCAGATTTTGGGGAAGGTGTGGAAAGGAGAAACAGGAAACTGTAAAGCCCACAGGTTTGGCTTTTGCTTCTCTGCATGAAAAATCAGATGATCCCACGGTTTCCTGTCCACAGCAGCTGCACCAGGTGATCCAAATGAATGGGGCACAAAAAGATGGGAATTTTTTTTCCTCAGAGCATCAATTCCCTGTTTTGGAAGCCACAGATTGCTCAACCCCCACTGCCCATCACACATTTGTATCCTCAGCCTTTAAATCCTGAAATCTTGGGTTCTACAGGCTCAGTGGGGCCTTGATGCACAAATTTTAGACACTTTTGAGCATCACTTTTCCTCTTTTCCTGTTTCATTCCTCTTCACCTCCCTCTCTACTGCCACTGCTTTGGGCAGGAGGGACTCTCTTCCTTCATTTCTCCACCCTCAGCTTTTGGGAGCGCCAAAACACCAGAATTCCCCCTGGAAGGAGTTTTCTACAACATCTAGAACCTCTCCACTTGTTCCAAAGTGGAGATATAGCAGAGAAATAATAATAACAATAAGCAGAGTGAATAAGCAGAGTGAAAGTCCCAGGCAGCTGCTGGTGGGGTCTTGATGCACAAATTTTGGACACTTTTGAGCATTTTTCCTGTTTCACTCCTTTCCTCTTCTCCTCCCACTGCTTTGGGAAAGAGGGACTCCCTCCCTTTCTCCACCCTCTGCTTTGGGGATGCCAAAACACAATAATTCCCCCTGGAAGGAGTTTTCCACAGCATCCAGAGCCTCTCCACTTGTTCCAATGAGGTGGAATAATCTGAGGCCCAGGTAGCTGCTGGTGGGGTCTTGATGCAGAAATTCCGGACATTTTTGAGCACCACTTTTTCTCTTTTCCTTTTTCATTCCTCTTCACCTCCCTCTCTCTTCCCACTGCTTTGGACAAGAGGGATTCTCCCTCCCCTTCTCCACACTCAGCTTTTGGGAGCACCAAAACACCAGAATTCCCCCTGGAAGGAGTTTTCCACAGCACCTAGAGCCTCTCCAGTTGTTCCAATGAGGTGGAATCATGTGGGAATAAGCAGAGCCCCATGCAGCTGCTGGTGGGGTCTTGATGCATAAATTTTGGACACTTTGAGCACCACTTTTTCTCTTTTCCTGTTTCACTCCTTTCCTCTTCACCTCTCTTTCTCCACCCTCTGCTTTGGGGATGCCAAAACACCAGAATTCCCCTTGGAAGGAGTTTTCCACAGCACCTAGAGCCTCTCCAGTTGTTCCAATGAGGTGGAATAATGTGGGAATAAGCAGAGCCCCAGGTAGCTGCTGGTGGGATCTTGATGCACAAATTTTGGACACTTTGAGCACCACTTTTCCAGTTTCACTCCATTCCTCTTCACCTCCCTTTCTCCACCCTCTGCTTTGGGGATGCCAAAACACAATAATTCCCCCTGGAAGGAGTTTTCCACAGCACCTAGAGCCTCCCCAGTTGTTCCAACAAGTGGAATAATGTGGGAATAAGCAGAGGGAGAGCCCCAGGTAGCTGCTGGTGGAGTCTTGATGCACAAATTTTGGACACTTTGAGCACCACTTTTTCTCTTTTCCTGTTTCACTCCTTTCCTCTTTACCTCCCTTTCTCCACCCTCTGCTTTGGGGATGCCAAAACACAATAATTCCCCCTGGAAGCAGTTTTCCACAGCACCTAGAGCCTCTCCAGTTGTTCCAACAAGTGGAATAATGTGGGAATAAGCAGAGCCCCAGGTAGCTGCTGGTGGGGTCTTGATGCACAAATTTTGGACACTTTGAGCACCACTTTTCCAGTTTCACTCCATTCCTCTTCATCTCCCTTTCTCCACCCTCTGCTTTGGGTGTGCCAAAACACCAGAATCCCCCTGGAAGTTTCCCACAGCATCAAGAGCCTCTCCACTTGCTCCAAAGAGGTGGAATAATGTGGGAATAAGCAGAGGGAGAGCCCCAGGTAGCTGCTGAGCCCCTCACCTGTGTACTCGATGACGAAGCCGGTGTTGCTGACGGAGGCGTCGCTCCGGAACGCCAGGAAAAGGCTGTTGCTGCTGCTCTCGATCCTCTCTGGCAGCTGGGAGCCATAAAAACTCCCAATCAGGGGGCTCAGCGAGTCAGGCCCGTCATAGATGTGCAGGAAATCGTAGCCAGGCTCCAGGCTGAAGCTGCAAAAGCAAAGGAGGAGAGCTTGGGGTCAGGACACGTCCCTGGAGAACGCGGGGTTGATGTTCTGGGATGTGGAAGCTCAGGGCAGGGATTGGCTGCTCCTGCTCCAAAATCCTGCCAGGCAGAGGAAATTCTGCCTCCATCCATGTCTGAGGGACCCAGGAGTGGGGATGGAGTCAAGGGACAGAGCCTGAGCTGGAGCTGCTGCAGAGATTCCTGGGCTGTGCCACATCATGGTCTATTTATTTGTGGGGTGGAAGGAATGATGAATATGACTCCATGTTCTCAGAAGGCTAATTTATTATTTCATTATACTGTATTATATTAAAGAATGCTATACTAAACTATACTAAAGAATATAGAAGGCTAAAGAGATAATAAAAACTCTTGACTCTTTCCAGAGTCCTGACACAGCCTGGCCCTGATTGGCCAAAGAGTGAAAACAACTCACAGCAGAATCCAATGAAACAATCACCTGTGGGTAAACACTCTCCAAACACATTCCAAAGAAGCAAAACACAGGAGAAGCAAATCAGATAAGAATGGTTTTCATTTTTAAACAAATTACAAAGGAGCAAAACACAGGAGAAGCAATGAGATAAGAATTGTTTCCCTTTTTCTCTGAGGCTTCTCAGCTTCCCAGAAGAAGAATCCTGAGAGAAGGGATTTTTCCAGAAAATATGTGACAATGTTCTGTCTATCAAAGAGGAACTGCAGCTGGAATAAGAGGATCTCCTCCCTAAAAAA